GAAATGCTATATTTCAGTTAGAGGTTAGTGAAAATAAAGTTCACATGGAATTCTATCCATGGACTCCTTGGGGGCTGTGAACCTCAGGTGAAGAACCTATGAAAGCCAAAAAGGGGAAATATTTCTGTAAAGTATGTTTCACAAGACTACTTGGCAACAATTATAAAAAACAGTTAAAAGTTAAACTATTTACAAAACTTTGTCATATAGATAAAGCTTTCTGTGTTTCAGAACAACTATTTTTAAAAAGAAATATCAGAATAAGGTACATCCACTTTAGGGCTATTAAGAAACAGGAGAGTAATTAATTCAACTTTTAAATACTTGAATTCCTATACTGTTTTGAACTAAACATTGTCCCAAAATATATAAATGATTTAGCTTAAAAGATAAACCAATCTATATTCAAAATAGAGTGAAAAAACTAATTAAAAATTATCTATTTTAGAGACAATATTTAAACATGTAACAATTGATGAAATGGCACAGCAAGTTAAATGCTCACTTAAACAATTCGGCTCTAACACAAATTGGAAAAAAAAATTCAACAGAAGCTGATAAACAATGCCAGCAACTTATAGATGTGTACTCTTTTTATTAATCTCAAAATTTTATGCCCAAGTTGTTTCATGACTTCTGAATATTTCTTGATAAAGAAAAGTAACATTATTCCTTTGACAGCTTTCCTCAAGTTTAAAAACATTTGATGGGTTTTCATTAAGGCTAGTCTGCTGGTCTGAAGATGAATATGCCAAAAAAGAGAAATGTTTCTTCATTACAAGAGACCGAAAAAAAAAAAAAAAGAGAGAGAAATGTTGATTAAAAAATGTTTTGCAGTGGTACACGATGTAACTATCATGAAAATTATACACACCAGTGTTTGGCATCTTCACATCTTCATTTATACCCTTATGAGGTGACATCCTTTGAACGGAAAAGGACCAGAAAGCAGTCAGAAATCAAGGGTGTCATACGTGATCCCACAGTTCTTACAGCCACATTCAGACCAACTATTGTCATTCAAAATTTTTAAGATGGAAGCAATCATTTCTCAATGCACAAATTGAGAATGCCAAGTGACCTCGTATGTGCAAAGTACATTTTAAAAAATATACATCAAAATTAAAAAACACTAGCAATTTTGGTAGAAAGAAGATATTTTAAGTTTCTGCTTTACTACAAATTTTGTATTCAAAGCAAATAGCCCATCAGGAAAAACAAAAAGATCTCCTACCTGATGTGACTATTCACTATATAATTTTTCAAACTACCGTGTAAAATTTTTTAAGTCCAGCATGACAGACAGAGCCACGGAAATGGAAAATAGCACTTTATTTTAGAGCAGCTCTGAAATCACCCCTTCTATTCTTAAGATTCATTGTAAAGTTCTCCATAATTTGTTAGAAAACTATTTTGATGAAACTCTTAATTCTACTGTTTATAAGAATAACAAACTACTAGCCAAAGTTCAATCCTGATTTTTCTCTTCCCCTCTCTTCCTCTTCTATGAATCTTACATAAAAATAACCCTCCTGGCGTTAAGTCTTTAAGGAAAATATCTCTATATTCTTATTTACCTATATATAGCTTCTACAATAGAAAATATCTACGTACTAAGGCTTTGAAAAGTCTTGAATGTGAAAACCATGTGCTATTTCATTGTCATGTAAAGAATATTAAATTCTGTAATGATATTGGGTGCCGTCTCATATTTGAAGCTTAATTTACTCCTTTACAGTGAAAATGATAGTTCTGTATCGCTGAGAACCCTTGGCAAACATATTAAAATTGATATACAAGTAGATAATAATTCTTAAACCAAAATTTGTATTGATATACCTAATGATAGATATAGTTAAAAGAAAACAGTGTTTGTTTTAAAAAACAAACAAAACAAAACTGCTTATCTTCTATGATTCATGAAGAGTTCAGGGACTCCTGGCTAGAACAGATCAAGAACTTTTTCCCTGCCGTTCCCTGTCTTCCCTGCCCAAAGAGAACAACACATAAATACTTTATCCCCTCCTAGAGACTGTATTATTCTTGTCTATTCCACTAGATTTAAATATGAGGGTGACGACTTACTCACCACTCCAGCACCAAAACAGGATCTGGCACACAGTAGGCCCTCAACAAAGATTTAATCCAAATAAATGGATTAAAAACAAATGGATTAAAAATCTCTGTCACTTCACAGTGTTTACAAATTAAATTCCTGGAATCAGGACACCTACTTCTTGAGGTTTAACAAAGTTTTAGGACCCAATTGACTCCCTTACATTTATTTACCATTTTACAAAATACCTCTGCTCACATTACCCCATTTAATCCCCCCGTAGTAACTAACTTGGCAGGACATACATTTACTGAACGATAAGGATTTTATCATTAACCTAAAAATTAGGAAAAGGTAGTTTTTTTTATTTATCTAAGGGTCATAAACTGGTAAGCCAAAATAAAACGAACTGGTCTAGAAGTTAGTGATTAAAACAGGATCTAGCCTCCTAGACTGATATTCGTAGATTTAGGGAACAGAAAGAAAAAAAAATGGTTTCTTTTCCGGAATCTCTTGGCTGGGGTGTCACTTTTTTCACAGTTCCTGATAAACAGGAAAGGTAAACAAGCGCCACTATTAAGAAACCATCTTCAACTGTCAAGCTGGGAAAGCCAGCGAACCACTGGCTGGTACACCCAAGTGCTGCAAAAAGAACTGCGGGAGCTTTCCCAATCGCCCTGGCCGCTTTCCTGGGGGCCCCCAAGGTTTTCCCAGGGCCAGGGAAGTTCCGTGAGCCTTGTTTATGTCCGGGCGACAGCGGCCGCACAATGACAGTGACACCTCGGGTCCCGCGCGGCTTTCGTCTGGGACCGACCGCTGGGTGCCCTGAGGCCGCTGGGGACCCCAATAGTGACAGCCCCGAAGCCTAGCCCCCGACAGCTCCCCCAGACCCCACGATAGGCCCGTAGGGAACCCAGCCAGGTTCCGGGGGAAGCCTCAGCCGCTGCGGGCGGCGGTCCCCGGCAGGGCTGACTGGGGTCTGGTGACACTTTTCAATGAAAGGGGCATTTTGTGTCTCTTTCAGAGTTTCTGCGAAGTGGCCACATTCCAGCCCCAAAGTCAGGAGACCAGAAAGCGAGCACAAGGTGTTTACTTCAATTTGAGAAACTGCTGCTCCAAAGGTTGGCAAAGCCCCATTCCACGGGGAAGACAGAGGAGTGCCAAACGCAGCGCCGCGCATCCCCTCACACCCCTCGCTCGGGGTAGGCCTCGTGCCCTCCCCGGGGTCTCCACCCGTCGGCCGGTCCACTCCCCCAACGCGGAAGGCCCAGGCGTGGGACTATTTTGTTACCTCTCTGCGCGGAGGCGAGTGAAGAGGTGATGAGCCGGGCGGCCGCCGCGCCGCAAGTACAAGCGCCACAGCTGGACATCTCCGCGGGGCCTAGGCCGGGGCTTCGCCCCCTGAGGACTTCTACGTCTCAGCAGCCCGACTCCTACTCGCCAGGTGTGCTGACTCGGTTCTGAACCCTCCCGCTGGCTCTAGGACAAGAGCAGAGTTCACCCGCCTGGCCTTCGAGCTCTTCGTGCCCCACCGCCGTCTACTCACCAAAGTAGACACCGATCCCCCCTCCCTTCCCCTCCTTCTCCTCCTCCCCCCACCCCCCTCCTACCGAGCCTTGGGAGCGTGCGCGCGCCTGCGTCCTAGTCCCGGAGGGGGCGTGGGCACGCACCGCGTGTGCGTGCGTAAGACACCAACGTGAAGCGAGGGGAAGGGGGTGGTGACCTGGGCGCCAATGAGCGCGCTACGGCAAGTGGCTAGCCCCAATTGGGGCAACTACAGGTCCCGACACGCAATTTTTCCGGAAGTCCCTTTTTCGTAAAGTTGAAAGGTTTGAAATAGATGCGGAGAGATGCATGCCGGGAGTTGTAGTCCCAATACATCACATACTGTTTGGTTGTTTTCTGTTGGGGCAGGAAAGATCAAAATGATTACAGTGGCTTAGCTGGCCACAGGGGGAATCTTTAAAGTGACTTGGCAGCCAGTAGACACTTCAGATTCACTAAGTTTCTCCTCCCGGGATTCCACATCCTGTGTTCCTTATCTTCTCCTTGGTTTCCTAACTTGTAACGTCAAAGCGGTACATTACCTAGTTCCCTGAGCAACAATTGTTGGGTAGTCAGAGGTCCCTCTCCTTCCTCTTTCAGGCCTAGTGGTGATAAAACTTCCAGCTGTTGCTGGTCCCTGGGTGTTTTACAGTCTTTTGAAGGTTTTCTTTTTTCTTTTTTGAAACATAGTCTCACTCCATTGCCCTGAGTAGAATGCCATGGCGTCAGCCTAGCTCACAGCAACCGCAAACTCCTGGGCTCAAGTGATCCTCCTGCCTCAGCACACCGGGACGCCCGGCTAATTTTTCTATTTTTAGTAGAGACGGGTCTCGCTCTTGCTCAGGCTGGTCTCGAACTCCTGAACTCAAGGATCCTCCCGCCTTGGCCTCCCAGAGTGCTAGGATTACAGGCGTGAGCCACCACGCCCAGCCCTGAAGGTTTTCTTGAATCTGATCACAGCCTGGTAAATAGTCCCTACATTAAACCCTCTTATATTACCCTTTGAGCCCTCTGCCTGCAGGGCCTGCTTCCTCTGGACAGGTAAACATATAGACCAGCTGCACAAGGTGAAGGATGGTGACAGACGAATCAGACCTCTCTCCCACATGGGTTGGTGTCAGACTATCTTGTGTATAACGATCTGATTAGCTCAACTCCAGAGAAATTGCCACATGAGCTTGGATGCCTTTAGTTCTGAGCTTTGGGGGAGGAGGAGGAGGCAAGCCAGGGTCATGACCCGGTCTCGCAAATCAATGAGCCTCATTGATCTCCATCCAGAGAAATGTGGCATATGTTGTAGTTCCCTGGGTCTGGCTGTGAGAAAAGATATTGGCCTTGGCTCAGGCCACACATTTTTTTCTCTCTTTGAGGAGATGACTCCTGGTACTCTCTCAGTTTAATGGAGCAGAGACCAGAAGAGAGCCCGTCTTCTTTCACCAAGACCTGGACCTTCCTCCATTAATAGAATTTTGAGAGAGGAGAGTCTCTAAAGTTCCCTAAATCCAGTGTTTTCAAACTGTGTTCCTAAAACTTCTCAGAAGCTATAGCTTTGTAGTGGGGGTGAGGGAACTAAGTAGAAGGACCTCCCCTGCCTCCTCCCCCATGCCACCCCAAAATCAACCAGAGCAGCTATGCTTTTATGTGTTTCATTATTGGGGTTTGTTTGGAAATAGAGTTTTTCTGCGTTAAAACAAGGTTTGAAATTCACTGAGCCTAGGACAAACCTCTTCTTTTAGAAAGGAGCTAAGAGGGTCACAGGGACCCTAACACCCCACTCCCACCTTCTTTTTCAATTATAATCATACTTACTTCTTATTATAGAAATAAAGAAGAGGTTTGTTAAAAATCTATGGATTGCTATAAAGCATGCTTAGTAAGAGTGTAGTTAAGGCTCAGCTGGGGACACCACTCCAGAAAGCCTTCCCTTTCTCTGTCTATTCTAGGGAGTTGCCTTCTCATTTATTCAATCAACAAACATTTATTGAGCACCAACTGGTATTCACTATTTTAAATAAAAAAAGTTCCTCTTCTCATGGAAGTTCTAGTGGGGAAGGACAAGACGGTAACTAAAACAAAAATATATGCCACTGGTATGATGATGTGGGAATATCCTTATATTATTTCCAGAATGATTTAACATTTAACTTTATTTATGGGTTGATGTTTTGTGTGTTTAGCCTTGTATTCCCAATTGGACTATGAGCTCTTTGAAGGCAAGTACTTCATTGTATACTTGGGCTGAGTCCCTAGCAGAAATTCGGTAAATATTTAATTAAGTACTTACCTTCCACCAATCTTTTGCTTGGCAGAAACCTGGGATGTTGACTTCATAAAATCCTACACATAAGCAGAGCAAATTACAATTGACAAACAGGTGATTGTTAATAGACATAAATTCTACAAATATATACAATGATTAGTCCAACTAACTTAGTGTCCCAGAAGCAATTCCCAGGGATTGCCTGATTTAATAGAGTATAGACTTTGCCCTAGAAAGTACAAAACAGAGGGAGCTGTACACAGCTCAGTTTAACTTTTTCTCAGCAGTGTGAACAAGGGTCATGTGGCTTTGGCATCAGCCCGGTGGTGGTTCCATCACACAGGGAACACAAATTTGGTAGTTACAGTTCATCTCCCTAAAACTATGCTCTTTTTCTTTTTTGGTTTATTTCTTCTTCCTTATTTTTGGCATGTTCGGAAGGCAGCAGAAAAACTATGCTCTTATGAGTCAAAATTGATCTGGAGTATATGGAGATCAGCACCCAACAAGCATGGATTAGGACACTAACATTGTGGGCTAGACTCTTTGATGGTGTAAGACTGGGGAACTTATACACAGGGATATACCCAAACTTCCCAAGTGGTATTTGCAAACAGATGGGTGTCAAGTTTAAACAAAATAACATCTGTGTTGGGAATGGTTCAAATGTTAAGGATCATTCTTTAGGAACCACCTGACTGACAAAGGAGCATCTTCTCTTTTACAACTGTATGTTCCTTGACCTGAAATTCACAGGCTGGGACACCATCCTTGCTCCAGGGTGTGTCTGGGTAGCCATGAGATGGAGCAGAGCTAGGGTTCTGGGCAAAGAATGATGGGGCTCCAGAGGCCCTCTGGGACTTTCTCGCCCAGTTGGCACTGTGTAGATTACCTCTGGTCAGGTTCCTATCAGGCCATCCTCTCAAGTCTGAATTCAGAAGCACAGAGCCATTTGAGATTTTCCCTGTGACAAAATGGATCCTCTAGCAGCAAAGTGATGGCAAATACCTGTGGTCACAGCTTATCAGCTCTTTGGAACAAAACACTTCCACATTACACCTACTTTCAGCTTTTTTCTTTTCTGACAGGTTAATGGTGTTTTTAAAATGTCAAGTGCAATTTTCCAGTTCAAATAGTTTCACTTGAGAAACTAACTCCTTGAGTTATTTACCTTTTGTGAACTACGTAGCTGAAGGCACGAAACTTTTTGTCTTCATTTTATGTAAAACTGTCTCTTTTTTCTTTTATACTTGACTCTGCCTCCCAGCATTGTGCATTGTGAACATTGTGAATTGCTATGAAAAATATTTTAACAGATTAGAGTCAGTGAGTCATCCAATATTAGCACTGGATTTTTCAGATGCAGAAACAAGTATATTAAAAAGTTAGGGTCCTGGCTGGGCGCGGTGGCTCACGCCTATAATCCTAGCACTCTGGGAGGCCAAGGCGGGAGGATCGCTCAAGGTCAGGAGTTCGAGACCAGCCTGAGCAAGAGCAAGACCCCCGTCTTTACTAAAAATAGAAAGAAATTATCTGGACAACTAAAAATATATATATAGAAAAAATTAGCCGGGCATGGTGGCGCGTGCCTGTAGTCCCAGCTACTCGGGAGGTTGAGGCAGGAGGATTGCTTGAGCCCAGGAGTTTGAGGTTGCTGTGAGCTAGGCTGATGCCACGGCACTCTAGCCAGGGCAACAGAGCCAGACTCTGTCTCAAAAAAAAAAAAAAAAAAAGTTAGGGTCCTGACCAAGCTCACATAACAAGTGAGAAATAGAATAAAGCCCAAGACTTCTGATTAAAAACTGTGTTTCTCAGTCCTTTCTTTTTTAACCCAAGATTCCTTTTGATCAACATAAAAACCTCACTTCCTCCTCCACCAGAAATTCTGGTACAGCCTCTCAGAGAGCCATCATTCTTTTGGGAATATTTGTGTCTTCCAAATAAAGACATTTCTTTTTCATGACTAAACACTATTCCTTCATGTCAGCAGACATTGATTGTCCCTGGCAGGATATAAATGCTTTCACATCCATAGTTTTATCTGATTCTCACAACAACCTAGTGAGGTATTGTTATAAATATTATCAGCATTCCAGTTTTACAGCTGAGAAAATTGTGATACAGAGGATTTAAGTGACTTGCCCAGGGTCAAGGCAGAACCAGGACTCAAACCCAAGTCACTGTGTAGTCTCCGTTAACTTCCCTACATCATTCTCCAAAAGCCGGTGAGATTTTAGGGGTCTGCAGAATCTCCACCGCCTACCCAGAAATATCTCACATCAAGGACTAAACAGCCACTGTTCCATTAAGGCAGTGATCCACCATCCTTCCTTCTCTTAAGAATTACTTGGGTACCCTAGATGTCTGGACTGGAGAGAGAGAAAAACAAGTACTTGAGGTGTTTGTTAAAATACACCTGGGTACCTCCGCTAAAGGTTTTGATAAAATAATCCTGAGTGGAGCTTAGGAATCTATTATTATTGCTAGAATGCTAGAATCAGGAGGTGGTAAGGTTTATTTGCAGAAGTTAATAAGGTATGTTTCTACTGTAGTGATAGAAGCCTATGCCTTTATTTTCCAAGGTCTCTTTTTTAGGTTCCCTCCAACTGCTCCCACTTTCTCCCTCAAGAGTCACTGCCCAACCTTGGTATTGTGGAGAGACCAAGGGCACTACAAGAAGGTGCTCATCGTCCTCCTGGACCTCTCTTTGGGAGTTGGAGGTGACCTCAACGTGAGGCTCCCCCACCTTCATCCTGATGTTCAGGAAGATGGTCAGCAGATGGCACTAACTCACCACAGCTTCCTTTTTTGAATTTTGGGGTGTAGT